TATGGTGGTAGAAGTTGAATAGTGGTTATCTTTGGGGGAATAGGAATTGACTGGGAAGGCTACAAAGAAAACTTCTAGGTGACAGGAAAGTCTTCTAGTTCATCTAGGTGATGACAAATGATCTCTATTTCTTTCCTTCTCTTGCTCTAGCTCTGGCTCTCAGCAGCTTGATATATTTTATATACGTTAAAATGAATCCAGCTGTTAACTGAAGATGTGTGCAAATTACTAAATGTAACATTACATTTAATGGTAATAGTAATTCAGTTCAGTCACCCAGTCGAGTCTGACTTTTTGCAACCCCATGAACTGCAGCACACCAAGCTTCCCTGTCCATCACCAACTACCCAAGCTTGCTCAATCCATTGAGTTAGTGATGCCATCCAACCATCTCATCCTCTGTTATCCCTTCTCCTCCCGCCTTCAATGTTTCACAGCATCAGGGTCTTTTCCAATCTTCCCATCAGGTGGCCAAAGCATTGGAATTTCAGCTTTAGCATAAGTCCTTCCAAAGAATATTCAGGACTGTTTTCCTTTAGGATTGACTGGGTTTGACCTCCTTGCTGTCCAAAGGACTCTCAAGAGTCTTTTTCAACACCACAGTTCAAAAGCATCTACTGTTCAGCACTCACCTTTCTTTATGGTCTGACTCTCACATCTATACATGACTACGTGAAAAACCATAGCTTTGACTACATGGACCTTTGTTGGCAAAGTAACGTCTCTGCTTTTTAATATGCTTTCTAGGTTTGTCATAGCTTTTCTTCCAAGAAGCAAGCATCTTTTAATTTCATGGCTGCAGTCAACATCTGCATTGATTTTAGAGCCCAAGAAAAGAAAGTCTGTCACCGTTTCCATTGTTTCCCCATCTATTGGCCATGAAGCGATGGGACTGGATGCCATAACTTAGCTTTTTGAATGTTGATTTTCAAGCCAGTTTTTTCACTATCCTCTTCACTTTCATCAAGAGACTTTTAAGTTCCTCTCCACTTTCTGCCATAATGGTGGTGTCATCTGCATATCTGAGGTTATTGATATTTCTCCCAGAAATCTTGATTCCAGCTTGTGCTTCATCCAGCTCAGCATTTCGCATGATGTACTCTGCATATAAGTTAAATAAGCAGGGTGACAATATACAGCCTTGACACACTCCTTTCCTGATTTGGAACCAGTCTGTTGTTCCATGTCTGGTTCTAACTGTTGCTTTTTGACCTGAATACAGATTTCTAAAGAGGCAGGTCAGGTAGTCTGGTATTCCCATCTCTTTAAGAATTTTCTACAGTTTGTTGGGATCCATACAGTCAAAGGCTTTGGCATAGTCAATAAAGCAGAAGTAGATGATTTTCTGGAACTCTCTTGCTTTTTCGATGATCCAACGGATATTGGCAATTTGATCTCCAGTTCCTCTGCTTTTTCTAAATCCATCTTGATCATCTGGAAATTCATGGCTCATGTACTGTTGAAGCCTCAGTTGGAGAATTTTGACCTTTACTTAGATAGTGTGTGAAATGAGTGCAATTGTGTGCTAGATTGAACATTCTTCTTTGGTATTACCTTTCTTTGGGATTGGAATGAAAACTGACCTTTTCCAGTCTTGTGGCTGCTGCTGAGTTTTCCAAATTTGCTGGCATATTGAGTGCAGCATTTTAACAGCATCATCTTTTAGGATTTGAACTAGCTCAACTGGAATTCCACCACCTCCACTAGCTTTGTTCATAGTGATGTTTCCTAAGCCTACTTGAGTGAAAAGTCTAGGATGTCTGGCTCTAGATGAGTGATCACACCATTGATCTGGGTCATTAAGATCTTTACTGTATAGTTCTTCAGCATATTCTTGCCATCTCTTCTTAATATTTTCTGCTTCTGTTAGGTCCACACTGTCTCTATACTTTACTGTGTCCATCTTGGCATGAAATGTTCCCTTGGTATCTCTACTTTTCTTAAAGAGATCTCTAGTCTTTCCCATTCTATTGTTTTCCTCTATTTCTTTGCATTGATCACTGAGGAAGACTCTCTTATCTCTCCTTGCTATTTTTTGGAACCCAGCATACAGATGGGTATATATCTCCTTTTATCCTTTGCCTTTGCTTTTCTTGTTTTCTCAGCTATTTGTAAGGAAGTCCTCCTCAGACAACCATTTTGCCTTTTTGCATTTCTTTTTCTTGGGGATGGTCTTGATCACTGCCTCCTGTATAATGTCACAAACCTCTGTCCATAGTTCTTCATGCACTCTGTGCATCAGATCTAATCCCTTGAATCTATTTGTCACTTCCACTGCATAATTGTAAGGGATTTGATTTAGGTCATACCTGAATGGTCTAGTGGTTTTCCCTACTTCCTTCAATTTAAGTCTGAATTTGGCAATAAGGAGTTCATGATCTGAGCCACAGTCAGCTCCCAGTCTTGTTTTTGCTGACTGTATACAGCTTTTCCATCCATCTGCACAGAATATAATCAATCTGATTTCTGTATTGACCATCTGGTGATGTCCATGTGTAGAGTTGTCTCTTGTGTTGTTGGAAGAGGGTGTTTGCTATGATCAGTGTGTTCTCTTGGCAAAACTCTGTTAGCCTTTGCCCTGCTTCATTTTGTACTCTGAGGCCAAACTTGCCTGTTACTCCAGGTATCTTGACTTCCTACTTTTGCATTCCAGTCCCCTATGATAAAAAGGACATCTTTTTTTTGGTGTTAGTTCTAGAAGGTCTTGTAGGTCATCATAGAACTGTTCAGCTTCTTTGGCATTCATGGTTGGGGCATAGATTTGGATAACTGTGATACTTAATGATTTGCCTTGGAAATGAAGAGAGTTCATTCTGTCATTTTTGAGATTATTGACCCAAGTACTACATTTCAGACTCTTTTGTTGCCTATGAGGGGCTACTCCATTTCTTTTAAGGGATTCTTTTTTTATTCTTATTTTTTTCATTTTAAGGGATTCTTGCCCACAGTAGTATATATAATGGCCATCTGAATTAAATTCTCCCAATTCCTTCCATTTTAGTTCACTGATTCCTAAATGTTGATGTTCACTCTTGCCATCTCCTGTTTGACCACTTCCAATTTACCTTGATTCATGGACCTAACTTTCCAATATTGTTCTTTATGGCATCGGACTTTACTTCTGTCACCAGTCACATCCACAACTGGGCATTGTTTTACTTTGTTTCCATCTCTTCATTCTTCCTGGAGTTATTTCTCCACTGATCTCCAGTAGCATATTGGGCACTTATTGACCTGGAGAGTTCATTTTTCAGTATCATATCTTTTTGCCTTTTCATACTGTTCATGTTCTCAAAGCAATAATACTGAAGTGGTTGCCATTCCTTTCTCCAGTGGACCACGTTTTGTCAGAACTCGCCACTATTACCCATTCGTCTTGGTTGACCCTACACAGCATGGCTCATAGGTTCATTGAGTTAGACAAGGCTGTGGTCCATGTCATCAGTTTGGTTAGTTTTCTATGACTGTGATTTTCATTCTGTCTGCCCTCTCATGGATAATGATAAGAGGCTTATGGAAGCTTCCTGATGGGAGAGACTGACTGTGGGGAAACTGGGTCATATATTTAACAATAAATGTTACAATTAATATTACATTCCTACAAAGTAAGACTTCCCAGGTTGTGCTAGTGGTAAAGAACCTGCCTGCCAATGTAGGAGACACAAGAAATGGGGGTTTGATCCCTGGGTTGGGAAGATTCCCTAGAGTAGGAAATGGTACCCCATTCCAGTATTCTTCCTGGAAAATTCTATGGGCAGTTGAGCCTGGCAGACTATAGTTCATGGGGCTGCAAAGAGTCAGATACAAGTAAGCGACATACTACAAGTAAATATGTATACATCTCTCTGTCTCTCTATTCCCATTAAAATTAGTTATGTATATAAAGTAAAATTGTATACATAACATTTGTAAATTTTATATAAATATGTAAATTTAAATTATATATAAATGAATTGCATATAAATTTATATATGTTTTAATATATAATTACATATATATGTATAAATTTTTTTTTTCTCCTGTTTATTTACTTCTCAGTTCATGTGAGGTTGAGGCTGGTATGAGTTGTATTTTCTAAGTGTAGTCTTTGCTATTCTCTTCCTTCCTCAAGCTTCTCAGCAGTACTTTTGGGGGAGGAGGCTGGTCAGTGGGTTGTGGGGGAAAGTCATGGGACAAATACAAGAGTAGTCTTGGGCTTAACGTGTGCTGTCAATTATTCTTAAAGTGAATCATCTGTATGTGGGTAAGTGCTCACTATATGAGGCTCTTAGGCGTTTTCTCCTGGTGTTAGCAATGAGTGCTGGAGTGCTGCACCTTGGCCTGAGATTAAATCGAAGAATGGCAATTACAAGCAGGGCTCTAGTTTCCCAAGTTATTATCTGGGGTGGAAGATAATGATGTTGGAAGTGCTGAGGGTGTGATGTACCTAAGGGGAGAGGGTGACATGTCTGGCTCTGAGCACGTCCCAACTTACACATTTTAACCTCTGCCATCTTTTTCTTTACATTTGGTTGATACCTGTGGAGTAAGGAGCTGGTTTCCCGGCTGCGGCTCACTCGGCTTCGGGGGAGGGGCCATGCCGGGCCTGTGTAGAGTGCAGCTTGCTCTGTGAAGTCTGAAAGAGGAAAATGTTGATGGTCCAAACACTGTGCTGTGAGTGACCATGTGCTGGGAGAGTTCATTTTCCAGCTGGGCCCACAGCCATGGGGCTGGCGGGGAGGGCGGTGAGACCAGGCAGCCGTAAGACCTGTAAGGGAGAGGGAGGAGGTTACGCAGAGAAGGCGCCGAGTAAATATAGCTCTTCTTTTTTACGTAAGAGAGAAAGAGAAAGAAATATTGGGTCACCCCAGACAAACAGGGGAAGGAGTGCAGCTGGGAAGGTGGGAAAGACAGAAACCAACCGCTGAACAGCACTGACTTGACAACCTCCAAATCACAATTAGGAGCCACTTCCTGGCCTCACATTTTCCACATAAACACTCGGGCGCTGGGCAGAGTTAATGGGCCCTGACTCCTGCTGGGAGCAGCTCCGGCCAAGCCCGGCCGCGATTGACGTCAAGGCCCAGCGTCTCAGAGGAATGTGCCCGCTCCCCGCGCTTCAGGGTCTGACCCTAACCTTTCCCAGATGTGCAACTGTTCTTCCTTCCAAACAGGGAGTTTCAACACTGGGCATTGTGTGCGCTCTTAGCCCTGTTCTGGAGCCAAAACAAAAGTCCCAGTTCCTGCGTTTCAGAACAGGATTATGCGCCCGCCGGCCTCTCTCTCTGAGCGGCTGGGCCGTCCTGCTGGAGGCGGTCCCGGGGCCTGGGTCCCTGCTCTGCGCCTTATCTCGCCCCCAACCTGCCTCCGCCGGCCGCCTCTCTGTGTCTGGCTGCGGAGGCCGGGAGTCCCCGCAGGCGCAGGCGAGGGCCTTTAGGCTTGTGTTCCAGCTCCTCCCTCCTCCCGCCCCTGCCTTTCCGGGCTCCAGGCACGCAGGCTCTTTGCAGCTGAACCAACACTTCACCGTAGTAGGTGCTCGTGGCCCTGTGGCTTCGCCCCCTCTATTCAGCTTTCTGGAATGTTCTCTTCCCTTTCCCGTTTTTGACTTGGTGGACAGAGAGGCCTCATTCAGTTCTGAAGGCAGTGCAGGTTGGAAGCCTTTTCCTGGCCCCTTCTCTCCTAGTTTGAGTCGGCTGCTCTCTGTGATTCTGCTGCCCCGCTTTATATAGACTGCAAACTTTATGATGCATCACACTGGGGGTTACTTTTCTCTCCCTGCTTTATGTTGGTTATTCGCGTGTCTCTTTCTCCAGCTAGAATGTAAGCCTTTCAAGAAGAAGGACATTCTACTCATCTTTGAACCTCCCGTTTAGTGGAATACATAATAGGTATTTGGACTTCCCAAGTGGCACTAGTGGTAAAGAACCCATCTGCCAGTGCAGGAAACATACTGAGACGTGGGTTCAATCCCTGGGTCAGGAAGATCCCCTGGAGGACAGTTTAGCAATCCACTCCAGAATTCTTGCCTTGGAGAATCCCATGGACAGAGGAGCCTGGAGGGCTACAGTCCATAGCGTAACAAAGAGCTGAATTGGACTGAAGTGACTTAGCATGCATGCATAATAGGTATTTAATAAATGTTTGTTGAATGGATTAATGAATATGTCCAAGAACATGAAAACAACGATGATACACTAGAAATCAGGTATCTTGGTGATTTTGGAAGAGGTAGTGTTGACAAAAAAGCAAAGACTTGTTACCAGGCCTTGAAGATGAGCATAGGAAAATAAACACAAAATTTAACACAATAGGGAAAATTGCTGTTGCTAGCAGAGGTCCTTAACCCTGTCACTTCTTAAGTGCTTCACTGATTTTATCTCATTTTCTTCTTACAACATCCCTTTTCCAAGTGACTTGGGTAATCTCTAATCATTGCTTGTGTTATTTCAAGTTTCTAGACAATATAATTCTGTAGCCTGCAGTGGAGACATATTCCAAGGCCTCTCAACCTTCTGGAAAGCCCTAAATCCCTTTGCTGCAGACCAAGTATACTATCTGTTACAAAGCAGCTGAGCAAAGAATCTTGGCTTTAAAATTCCCTCTGTGCTTATTATGTGAAAACCAAATTTCCCCTCCCTTCTGCACTCACAGTTACCAGCCCTTCTTTCCCCAAACCTAAAACCCCTGATGGAGAATGAACATAGATAACATGGTAGCAGAGACCACCTAGAAATCTGGGCATAATTAGTCTGCCTTTCCCCCCAAAGATAAGAATGGATACTTAAGAAAGAGCTGCATATATCCATGCTAAGCTTTCATTTGTTGTAGCAAAATTCCAAATGGGAGTTCCCAATGGGAATAACAACTTGTCTTCCCACCATCTGACTGGCGCCATCTACCAACTTACTCGACTTCTCAGGGAATCTGACCCTAAATGGGCAGAGCTCCAAGAAAGCACAGGGGAGGTGCTGTCACAATGCTGTCACTTTAACAGCCAAGAGGCAGCTATCTCTTTCCTGGAGGTATACAATCATAAGGGTGATTTCAGGACTTATGGCAGCTGTGAGGCTGGGGGCACAGGGTATCTGCTTGTTATCATTTCAACAAGTGGAGTTAGGAGAAAAGTCCCCTTATCTGACTGTTTTCTGGAGGGAAAAACCAAAAGTGGTGATGTCGTTCCTCTAATCCGGAAATCTTTCTGGCTTCCCACAGGAAAAGGAAATTTCCACAGTGAGTTTTCAATTTGCTGCCTCTCTTGGGGTAGGAAGACATCTAATTTTAGTATAATTAAGGGCTAAGTGGATTAGGCTCTTCAGAGTTGCTCAGGATTTCTGATTATGTGAAATAATTTATAAATTTTATAATACAACTATATATTATATTTATGTAATTATATACAAATATAAATTATGTGAAATAATTTTTTAATTATGTAAATAATGTAAAAACCAGGGCTTTAATGCTCTATTGTTCCCATATTTCTATGCAGCCTCCTTAAGAACTGCCTTCACCAAAATAGGATGGAGCGGTTTCTCAAAGTTATAGGGATTTTCCCAAGGAAACTGAACTGGTGAAGCTGGGAGCACTGTAGGAAATTTCTATTTTCAATCAGAAACAAAAGATGTATTTTTTTTTTCCAGAAAACTTTTTCATTTTTCATTATTATCAGTGCTGGGCTTAGGAATTTAGATCACAAACATTTTCAAATCATGGAATAAGGCTTGCATTTCTTTAAACTTTCATTGACTGATACTTCTGAGGTGGCAAAAGCAAGAAAATAATAGGAAAAAGTAAAAATTATCCCCAGCCAAATTAGATAGAGGACCAAGAGGCGGAGAGGGGAGAACAAACACTTGCTAACGTACTGCAAAGGAGGGAGGAGACCTGGGACAGTAAAGCTGTCCTATTACTTCCCCAGGCAGGAAGCTATTGCTGACTTCATTTCATGGATACAAGGAAGAGTAAAATCAACACGCTATGGTTCTGATGAGAGATTTAACTCTCATCATATAATGTTTGCAAAAAATATTCCACCCCAGTGATGAGGAGGTGGAAAAGAGCAATGAAATTTACCAGTGTTGCTTATGGATTATGGTCTCCAAATTACTGTTTCTAATGAACACTTGGGGTGTGCCTACTATGTGCAAAGTGTGGGCAAGGCATTTGTACGGACTGGGATGAATAGGCCACTTGGCCTGTTCTATCAAAGTGGTCCTGAGTTCTCTGAAGAAGTTTGGACTGAAAAGATAATGAGGAAACCAGTAGAACTCTTGAATGAGTTCTTCTTGCCTTAAGGTTCCAAACTGCTGCATAACTGAATTATGTTTTTATTGTCCTCTTGTGTGGAGGAGAGTTTCCCAGGTGGCACAAGTGGTAAAGAATTTGCCTGCCAATGCAGGAGACATGAGAGGTGCGCGTTCAATCCCTGGGTCAAGAAGATCCCCTGGAGAAGGAAATGGCAACCCACTCCAGTATTCTTGCCTGAGAAATCCCATGGACAGAGGATTCTGGCGAGCTATAGCCCTTGGAATTGCAGAGTTAGAAATGACTGAGCATGCAAAAACACGTGTGGTAGTCTTCTTCTCTGGCCTCTCTTTCATTCCTCCTTCCTAACTTCCTAATTTCCTTTTTTTTCTCCTACCCATCCTCACTATCCTTCCCTCTTTTTCGTTCTCACCATTATCAAACTAAGGAAATTGCTAAGGCTTTTATTTTATTTTATTAAATTTTTTTATTTTTTCCATTTATTTTTATTAGTTGGAGGCTAATTACTTTACAACATTGCAGTTGTTTTTGTCATACATTGAAATGAATTAGCCATGGATTTACATGTATTCCCCATCCCGGTCCCCCCTCCCACCTCCCTCTCCACCCGATCCCTCTGGGTCTTCCCAGTGCACCAGCCCCGAGCACTTGTCTCACGCATCCAACCTGGGCTGGTGATCTGTTTCACCCTAGATAATATACATGTTGCGATTCTGTTCTCTTGAAACATCCCACCCTCGCCTTCTCCCACAGAGTCCAAAAGTCTGTTCTATACATCTGAGTCTCTTTTTCTGTTTTGCATATAGGGTTATTGTTACCATCTTTCTAAATTCCATATATATGTGTTAGTATACTGTAATGGTCTTTATCTTTCTGGCTTACTTCGCTCTGTATAATGGGCTCCAGTTTCACCCATCTCATTAGAACTGATTCAAATGAATTCTTTTTAATGGCTGAGTAATATTCCATGGTGTATATGTACCACAGCTTCCTCATCCATTCATCTGCTGATGGGCATCTAGGTTGCTTCCATGTCCTGGCTATTATAAACAGTGCTGCAATGAACATTGGGGTGCACGTGTCTCTTTCAGATCTGGTTTCCTCGGTGTGTATGCCCAGAAGTGGGATTGCTGGGTCATATGGCAGTTCTATTTCCAGCTTTTTAAGAAATCTCCACACTGTTTTCCATAGTGGCTGTACTAATTTGCATTCCCACCAACAGTGTAAGAGGGTTCCCTTTTCTCCACACCCTCTCCAGCATTTATTGCTTGTAGACTTTTGGATAGCAGCCATCCTGACTGGCGTCTAATGGTACCTCATTGTGGTTTTGATTTGCATTTCTCTGATAATGAGTGATGTTGAGCATCTTTTCATGTGTTTTTTTGCCATCTGTATGTCTTCCTTGGAGAAATGTCTGTTTAGTTCTTTGGCCCATTTTTTGATTGGGTCATTTATTTTTCTGGAGTTGAGCTGGAGGAGTTGCTTGTATATTTTTGAGATTAATCCTTTGTCTGTTGCTTCGTTTGCTATTATCTTCTCCCAATCTGAGGGCTGTCTTTTCACCTTGCTTATAGTTTCCTTTGTTGTGCAAAAGCTTTTAAGTTTCATTAGGTCCCATTTGTTTATTTTTGCTTTTGTTTCTAAAATTCTGGGATGTGGGTCATAGAGGATCCTGCTGTGATTTATGTTGGAGAGTGTTTTGCCTATGTCCTCCTCTAGGAGTTTTATAGTTTCTGGTCTTACATTTAGATCTTTAATCCATTTTGAGTTTATTTTTGTGTATGGTGTTAGAAAGTGTTCTAGTTTCATTCTTTTACAGGTGGTTGACCAGTTTTCCCAGCGCCACTTGTTAAAGAGGTTGTCTTTTTTCCATTGTATATCCTTGCCACCTTTGTCGAAGATAAGGTGACCATAGGTTTGTGGATTTATCTCTGGGCTTTCTATTCTGTTCCATTGATCTATATTTCTGTCTTTGTGCCAGTACCATACTGTCTTGATGACTGTGGCTTTGTAGTATAGTCTGAAGTCAGGCAGGTTGATTCCTCCAGTTCCATTCTTCTTTCTCAAGGTTACTTTGGCTATTCGAGGTTTTTTGTATTTCCATACAAATTGTGAAATTATTTGTTCTAGTTCTGTGAAAAATACCGTTGGTAGTTTGATAGGGATTGCATTGAATCTATAGATTCCTTTGGGTAGTATAGCCATTTTGACAATATTGATTCTTCCAATCCATGAACACAGTATATTTCTCCATCTGTTTGTGTCCTCGTTGATTTCTTTCATCAGTGTTTTATAGTTTTCTATGTATAGGTCTTTTGTTTCTTTAGGTAGATACACTCCTAAGTATTTTATTCTTTTTGTTGCAATGGTGAATGGTATTGTTTCCTTAATTTCTCTTTCTGTTTTCTTATTGTTAGTGTATAGGAATGCAAGAGATTTCTGTGTGTTAACTTTATATCCTGCA